ATTTTGAATTTTAATTTGTATATTTAAATTGTCTAAGTTACGACGGAATAAGAGGAAAGGTGGCGGCGAATCCCCATGCAGCTGTCATTCTGTTGCTCCCGGTGGTCATTGAAATATACCAAATGAAAGGAATCGTATGTCATATGGAAAGATTCAAGTCTTTTCACCCCTGCTCTCACATTCCCCACCTAGCCATTGTCGTGCAACCCCTCGCCCCCGTGGTAACAAATTGCCAAATAGTTCATTACCAAGGCGGGGTTGTTTATTCCCGTGGGACCGATTTAAATAATGCCCATTAATGCTAAGCTGGTAGACAATAGCCGAGGTGGAATTTGGCTGTCCATGGAAACTTTTTATCAATTTAATTTTTTTGAAAAGTCGATTTTCTTGAATTTAATAAATTCCCAAGGTTTATTGTTTTCAAAACGGAATATTTTCCATACAAAAAAATATTTCTTTGCAAACATTTAAAATATATTTTAATTAACTTGTAAAATATGCACCACCTACCTAACTTATAATCATGCATGATTAAACTGCATAGTGTTTGCACTTTGACTGAGATTGATAACTCAATATATACAAATATGTAAAACTAGGTCGTGGGTTCGAGTGCTCGTGAAACTAGTTTTTCATTTTTCATCTCAACCTTCTTTACCTAAAAATTAAATTAAAAAAAAAAATATGTATACATAATATTTTTCATTTTATTTAATTGATAATTTATATTTTTATAATCCTGATAAAACAGGCAAAAAAATGAAATTTTGCTGATTTTTTCTACAAAAATAACGAAAAAGGCCTTAACCCCAACACCCTAACTTGCATATCTTAGGTATGATCAGGTATGATATAAACTGCATAATTGATTTTGAACAACAATTAATTTTTTGTAATATTAACAATTCATAAATAATTGATAATATTAATAGATGTTATTAATACATAATGATGATGCTAATATTACCAAATCGTAACGATTCATTCATCTTCTGATGTCCACCCAAATACCACGATCATTCTTTACATATTTCTTGTAAGATCAGTGCTTGAATAATGTTTTCCTGTTTGGAATCCATACGTTGCAAAATCTATTTATACTTCAATCTGTACAATTTAAATTTATCAGAATTCTTGCCTATAAAATAGGAGTAACTATTACTGACTGTAGACAATTTGTCTAGTTTTTCATCTCAACCTTCTTTGCCTAAAAATTAAAATAAAAAAAAATGTATACATAATATTTTTCATTTTATTTAATTTATAATTGATATTTTTGTATTCCTGATAAAACACAGGCAAAAAAAAAATGAAATTTTGCTGATTTTTTCAACAAAAATAATGAAAAAGGCCTTAACCCCAATACCCTAACTTGCATATCTTAGTTATTATCAGGTATGATATAAACTACATAATTGATTTTGAACAACAATTAATTTTTTGTAATATTAACAATTCATAAATAATTGATAATATTAATAGATGATGATGATACTAATATTACTAAATATTAATGATTCATTCATCTTCACCCAAATGCCACGATCATTCTTTACATATTTCTTGTAAGATCAGTGCTTGAATAATGTTTTCCTGTTTGGAATCCATACGCTGCAAAAATCTATTTATACTTCAATCTGTATAATTTAAATTTATCAGAATTCTTGCCTATAAAATAGGAGTAACTATTAGTGACTGTAGACAATTTGTCTAGTTTTTCATCTCAACCTTCTTTGCATAAAAATTAAATTAAAAAAAAAATGTATACATAATATTTTTCATTTTATTTAATTTATAATTGATATTTTTGTATTCCTGATAAAACACAGGCAAAAAAATGAAATTTTGCTGATTTTTTCTACAAAAATAACGAAAAAGGCCTTAACCCCCAACACCCTAAATTGGAAAGAATTATCTTAGTTATAATCAGGTATGATATAAACTGCACAATTGATTTTGAACAATTCATAAAAAATTGATAATAATAATTGATGATATTAATATTACCAAATCGTAACGATTCATTCATCTTCTGATCTCAACCCAAATGACGAACATTCTTTACGTACAATTAATTAAGGTTTTAAGTTGAGATAAAAAAGCCAGTGTCACGAGCGGGATTCAAACCCACGACCTTTGGCTTGATACGCCGCTACTCTACCACTTGAGCTGGACAAGTGGACCACAAAAAATAGTGAATTCTTTACATACTTTTTTTGTATGAACAGTGCTTGAATACTCCTATTTGGAATCCATACGCTGCAAAATCTATTTATAAATTTAAATCTGTACAATTTAAATTTCTTCAAATAACTGCCTATAAAATATGAGTAACTATTACTTACTATAGTCAATTTCTACAGTAAGTTACTCCCCTTAGAGACACATAGATTTTGCTCTGATTTAATTACTCCCTTCAAAATAATTAACTACTATTAAATTCATCAGAGTTCATGGTCCGCTTTTATCTCGACCAATACCTTACTTTCTTATATTTCCTATCATTCTACTAACTATACTAAAAATACTCCTATTGAATGATGTGTTCAGCCAAAAACTTTCCAATTTTTACTATTTTTCATTCTTCTTTTTTTTCGTTTTACAGTCGAGTATGCTGACATGTTAAATCTTGAATTATTATGTATGTTTTAAGTTAAATTATCTTTCTTTATTTCTATAACAATCAAACGTTTTTTTATACAAATTATTTAACTCACACTTCTGTACATGTATGTATATTGTCTGAGGGGATCGAAATCATGATAGCTCAAGTAGTTAGAGCAGCGGGGTATTGTGCCAAAGGTCAAATCCCGCTCATGATACCAATTTTTCATTTCAACCAAAAACCTTCGACAAAAAGAACAATTAATTGGTATATGTATATATTTTCATATTTTACTTATATTATTTGTAATTAAATTATTTATTGAATATAATTCGTCTAAATATGCACAAAATACTCTTATTTTTACTTACTTAATCATATGTTTTATGCAGATGTTTTCTAATATTATTTTACTTTATTAATATTCTAATATTATTTATCTAATATTTTAAAATATGTTATATTATTTTACTTTTTTTTACATTTTACAAATTTAAAATAACGATGATAAATGTGAACTTTTTTTAGGTATTTTTAGGTATATTTATATGAAATATACTTTTAAATGATTTTCTTACTCTACGTATTGTTTAATACTTAAGTAATTTTTTCTTTTGTTTTCTTATTTTTACTTTTATATTGTTATATTTTATTTTTCTATATTTAAACTCTTTTTTTTGTAAATTGGATTAATATCTTAAAATATATCAGAAATCATAAAGAGGACATGGAGGGACCTCAGGGCAAAAGCCCCAGGCCTCCTGAGAGCTTGGACTTTTCCATATAGGTCTCAATGTAAATGGTTTTTATCCACGTCCTCCAAAGGGAGCTTTGTAAGGTCAATCATATTAAAAGAAAAGCCAAAGACGGAGGAGCCCCTGGGTCCCTCCTGTTTCGGCAGTGATGGCCAGACAGCTGGCTGTACGCGCTCCCCAGAAGTGACATACATGCAAATCCACACACACCACTGGTACACATATGCACACATAGCTACATAAAGGCAAAGATAGCCCTTGCTGGTTTTTTGCCCCCCCCCCCAAAAAAAAAAAAAAATCAGAAATTTAAGAAATTAATCATTTTTGGAGTTTTTTTAAATCAAAAAATTTTTATTTTCTTGCTTGAGCTTTCTTCACATCAGCCTATGAAGTGATTAAGTGACTAGTCAAAGAAAATTTTATTAAAGCAGTCTAAATTGTCTCTCATAAGCACATACCTCTTTGTGTTCTATAACATGGAAAATATAATTAAACAATCCAATTTTAACATAAAATATGCAATAATTAAATTTTTTCATAAACTAAACATATTCATTGCTATGTGGTTTATATCAAAATCAAGTTGTGCAAAAATAATGAAGTTGTCACACAGCCTTGTCTCACTACACATCCATCATTAAAAGCTCAGACAATCCTTCTGGATCTTTAATAAATTCTTATTTTATTATGTTGTGCAATTGATTCTGTTCTAGTTGCAAAACACTAAATAAAAGTGTGTGGTGATTAGTGACCGTTAATCGATATTTATTTAGAAATCGTGAGATGCGGTCTGGTGTGATGTAGGTTTCAGAAAAATATTTTCTTTATCGTGCCAACGTTTCGATCTTTATTGAGATCATCTTCGGGGCCTGGGATTTACAAACATTGTTTACATATAACAATTATATTTTGGATGTGGAAAAGTGAATTTATACAATGCAAAATATATTTTTTTATATATTCAATCAAAGTATTTCTACTCACTCAAAGTGTTTGTCTTCTTTGTAATTGTGCCATTCTTGCGTGTCGTATCGAGAGTGCCAGTGAGATTTTGCTATTTTGTGTTTATATACGTTGGATTTTGAAGTTGATCTCAATAAAGATCGAAACGTTGGCACGATAAAGAAAATGTTTTTCTGAAACCTACATCATACCAGACCGCATCTCACGATTTCTAAATAAATACTAAATAAAAGTCAGAAAGCATGTATAAAATGCATGTTTGCTTAAATAAATGTTACTATTGTCTACAGCAAAACTTTTACTAGATTTGTTCACAAGGAGTAAACTATTGGAAATAAATTTATTATATTTAGTCCAACATTTTCAATGTTATGTGAAATCGACTGAAATTAAATATAATAAAAAAAAATAAAAAAATAAAAATACATGACTAAACGTAGGCTCCTTCACCAAAGGTTGGTTTGTGTTTGAAAATATTTGGCATTGCCATTTGCTGGAAAATTTGGTGACATTTGATTCCTTTGACTTCAAGAATTGGCATATGTGAAGATAGCATTTTACTTTTTTCCTTTGTGATTTAAACAATCAATTAATCACTTTTGAATATAATTTTTTTATCCTAAAAGATTTAGATTTTTGTGTCCCAAGTGTCGAAAAATGAACTTTATCTGTTTTAGCTTGTGCCCCACCACCGGGGAAATACGATCCCAAGTTTGATTCGAAAATAAAAGGCGCTGTGATCGAAAAGAGTAAAAGATTCGCCGAGGTGAAGGTAGAGCCGGCTCCTTCCGTCTGCAGCTTGGACTCCGGTTCATCGTGCTCGCTTACGAACAAGCCTACATTTAGGACGGTAAGTTTCTTGACAGTTTTGTTTGGATTACGTTGAATTTATTTAATTTTGTACATTTGTTAACAGCCACAGCTACCAAGAAAAAAGCCAATTACAACTCCCAAGTCGGCTATTGAAACCGGGAAGACCTATACGCCTTCTATAGAAACTAAAACGAAAAGGAAGCTCGATGATATTTTCAAGTAAGGTTGATCGATGTAATTTTATATGGTTTTATAATAATCAAAACCATTTCAGGTTTTCAACCGAAAAGAATCTCATCGAACAGATTGACGAGCTGACAAGAGTACACTCTGCGCAGCTGATTGAAAAAGATCAGGAGCTTTCGTCCCTGTATAACGAAGTAACCAAGCTTAAAAATACCATTGTCAAACTGGAGAATTCTCGTGAAATAGATTACAATACGATGAAACAGAAATATGATGTTGAAATGAACAACATCAAAACAGAGCTTGATGAAGCGCATAATCTGCTCGAGAGGGAAAGTTCGCACCATGAAGAGTTAATACAAGAGTTGACAAACAAGATAAGCATTTTAGACGAAAATTTAAAAAATAGCAATTCTTTCAACAGTGAATTGGAATGTCAAATGTCTGAGAAACAATCGGCGCTCGATGAATTGAAAAATCGGTACGCAGTCTTAGAAGAAGAGTTGCAATCGATGAGAGAAGAAATGGCGAGAGTTGTAGAAGAGAAAGAAACGGAAATCACTAATATTAAAGAAAATTTCAAAAAACAATTAGAAGAGTTGACAATGACAAGTGAACACACCATCGAGAGCTTATCTGAGAAAATGGAAGAAAGATACCTCCTTCTCGCAAATGAACTAGAACAGATGAAAATCGATGACCAAGAAGACCTTTTCAGGAAGATGGAGTTACTAACTTCTGAAGTCAAAGAGAAAGTGATGTTGTTCGATTCTCAAGCAGCCGAAGCGTTCGATGCCGTGAAGAACATAACAGAAAATTTCGACGAAAAATCAAAGGATCTGATCGAGTCGTTGAACGACTGCGCAAAAATCAACTGTGACAAGCTTAACGAGGTCATCGAATTGAGTGAAAATCTAGAAGCCCAAAAAGTCAGAAACCTCAAACAGAAGATCGAAATTGTAAATCTTGAAGAACAGATTGAAACGCTCAAAGAGCAAGTGGAGAAACTGAAAAAACAATGCAGGAAGTACGAGATAGTGCAGAGCGAAGTTACAAAAACTATACAAGTACTGAGCACTAGGCTCTTTGAAAGTGAAAGCGAAGTCGAGAACATGAATGAGACTAAGGAAGAGCTTATACTAAGAAAGAACGCTCTCGAGGAAAAGATAAATGCTTTGAGAAGTGAGAATGAAGATCTTAGAGAAAAGATTTCTGACCTTGAAGTCAATCTTATAAAAGATGTCATGGAAGTTGAAAGGAACCTTATTTCAAAAGTTGAAAATTTCCAAAAAAGCACATGCAATGAATCTTCAAAGCTGAAAGCTCAATTAGAAGAAAAACAGAAATCCGTCGAAGGACTCCTGTTAGAAGTGGAAACATACCAAAACAAAGTTTGGGAGTTGAATGAGCACAAACTCTTCTACGAAGAAATCATCACTAAATGCAAAGAGGAAATTGAATCTCTTTCTTACAAGTTCAAAGATGTTGAACAGCGCTATAACAGGCTTGAAGAGTTGAAACGTGTGAGTGATGATAGAGTAAATGAATTAGAGAAAAATATGAACGTGCTGAGAGAGGAAAAGGCCATCTTGGAAAATGAATGTCAAGATAAGGTCTTGGAGATTAACAATCTCAAACTTGAAATTGACCAGTTGAAAGACAAATTGATGAAAGTAGAAAACGATATAGCCCAGATGGAAGAAACCGGCTTTGAACATGAAAAACACATCGAAGAGCTTGCAATGCAGCTCAAGCATTACACCGACTGCGGTCTCAAATCCACGAATCAGATAAACAGTCTGACAAACCAACTCAAAGAAAAACAGATGGAGTTGGATAAAGCACAAGAAGAATTCACCGAAAAAGATCTGAAAATTGAAACGCTCTCTGCTGAATTGTCAGAGAGTAAAATGTACATACAGACTATGACTGAGCACGTTGTCGCTCTTATGGGCGAATTATCGGAAAAGACGAGAGAGGTTGAAAATCTCATGAATGAGATAGAAATGAAAAATGGGACAATGGTCCAAGTCTCAGAGGAATACGAAGAGATCAAGAAAATGTACGAGGATGAAGTGAAGAAGTGTGAAGAGATGGAGAAGGAACTCCATGATATGCAGAGTGATAATGAGAAGTACGTAGACGAACTGATCTCTGAGCTAGTTCTTGAAAAAGAAAGATGCACAGACCTAACTCAGACATCCGAAGAGGCCCTCTCCGAATTAAGAGTTTTCCAGCAACAAATTTCTCTTTTAGAAGGTGAGAAAGAAAAGCTTGCCTTAAGAGAAAAAGAGATAGAAGAACTAAAACAAAAAATTAATGAAAACGAATATGAAAAAGTTAAATTAAATGACATAATCAACTCATGTCACAAGCAAATTCAAATTTTAGAGGAAAAATCACAAACTGAAAGTGAAGAGTTACAGAATAAAATCAATTCTCTCGAAGCTAGTGAAAATTGTTTGAACGATGAAATCTTCAGACTTAACAACTTGAACAACGCGCATGAGATCAGTTTAAAAGAAAAAGAATCGCAGATTGTTGATTTAAAAGAAGGACATGCGCAATTAATGTCAAAGCTCAGTGAGATTATTGCGGAAAAAGACGATCTTGTTGAGATGGCCAAACATCAGTGGGAAGAGATGGAACTACTCACGAATGAAATCAGCAACCAACAAGAAGAAATTGACGACTTGAAAAAACTCAAGGTAATTTATTATATTACTATAATATACTACTAATTTCATGACTAGTTTAGGTTAGGTACAGATGCATTTTGATTATTAGAGTTTTTAAATCTGATGTAGGGGACTTTGGTAGCCGAGTGGTCAGCGTGTTGGACCCTCGGCTCGTAGATCCCTCGGTCTACGGGGTTCAATTCCCAATGTCACCTCTAGAATTATATTCACAATCTCCTCCCTTTCTTCTAGGAAATAAATAATATACTATACACAGACTAAGCTCTGGCTAATATGTTAAACATTAAAAAAAATTCAAGACTAGTTTAGCTAATACAGATCCATTTTGATTATTAAATTTTTTTTAAACCGGGTAATATGTTGTTTTTTATTTCAACACTAAGCTTATTGATTATTTGGAGGTCGTGAGATGCGGCCTGGTGTGATGTAGGTTTTAGAAAAACATTTTCTTTATTGTGCCAATGTTTCAATCTTTATTGAGATCATCTTCAAGGCCTGGGATTTATAAACATTGTTTTTGAAAATTTTAGATAAAAAAAAATGAAGTTATACAATGTTAGAAAATTTTAGATTAAAAAATGAATTTACACTATGCTAGAAAATTTTAGATTTAAAAAAATTAATGTACACTGCTAGAAACTTTTAGATTAAAAAAATGAATTTATAATGCTAGAAAATTTTAGATTTAAAAAAATTAATTTACACTATGCTAGAAAATTTTAGATTTAAAAAAATTAATTTACACTGCTAGAAAATTTTAGATAAAAANTATTCTAAAATTTTCTAGCATAGTGTAAATTAATTGTTTTAAATCTAAAATTTTCTAGCATTATAAATTCATTTTTTTAAATCTAAAATTTTCTAGCATTATAAATTCATTTTTTTCACATCCTACATGTATTTGTAAAATTAAACATTATTTATAAATCCGAGGCCCTGAAGATGATCTTGATAAATATCGAAACATTGGCACGATAAAAATATGTTTTCCTGAAACCTACGTCACACCAGACCGCATCTCACGATCTCCGAACAATCATTAACTAATAGTCACTAAACACAACACACTAAGCTTATTCTTATTAAGAACATACATATATTGTAATATTAATTGTATATTAATAGGATGATAAATTCGAGGAGGTACGCGCTCTTCATCAGGCAGAGCTACAGAACCAAATCTTTGCCCTTCAGCAGAGCCTTGAAGATACTCAGAAGGCTGTTATCCAGCTCAAAGCCAAGGAGGAAGACCTGGTCTTCAAGCTCAATTCAGCCGAGGCGGATCTCACCCAGGCCGAGACGGACAAAGAGAGCTATGAGAAAAACTTAGTCGAGCTCAACTGTAAAATAACAGATCTCGAGTCAAAATTCGTTGCTATGGAGAAGCGGAAGAATGAGTACAAAATGTATGCCATCGAGATGGAACAGGACAAACAGAAGATGAAACTTGAAATTGATGATTTACATGCTGAAAATGAAAAACTTCAAGAAGAAAAACATGAGTACGTTATTTCTCTTTTTTAAAATTTTTTTTTTATACATATAAAAACAAATTAACAGGGTGTTTGGCTTTTCACAGAGATTCAATGAGCGTAACTTCACTCAGTGCTCGTATTGCTGACTTGGAATGCAGAAACCAAGACCTTGAGAACATCATTGGACCGTTTCGTGAGCAGCTTATTCAGTTTGAGAGCGAACGGGCTGCCCTCCTCTCCAAAAGTGAGAACACCGAAAAGGAGCTGAAAGCCCTCGCACTCGAACATGCCAAAGCGCTCGGACACCAAAACCACAAACAGAAGATACGTCATGTCGTCCACCTCACGGAAACAATCTGCGACCTTAAAAAGGTAACGCCTGATTTCCGCCGTCGACTATCTTACACAGGCTTAAACGCTTCTCTAATCTGCAGGACTTTGAAGCTTCAGGAGCTTCCGACCGGATTAAGAAAAAGCCCAATTTTGCTCAGCTGCTCAAACAGCTGCTTAAGCTCCTGAAGCCAAATTGTGACATCTACGACTTAATCGGGGTATTATGTATTGTCGTTATTCACGTATATGGCTTTTAGTTTAATTAAAAGGGTTTTAATTGTAGGTAATTAATCGTTTGTTCATATATTTATTTAAAGGCATGTCAAATGGGTTTTGTACGTTTACTGTAGAGTTTTTAGACAAATTGGATTTTTATAAATTATCAACGGAAATACAAATACATTGGGTTCTAATTTGAAATTTATTATGCTTTTCATGATACTTATATATTTTCTCAAATTGATTATAGCATAAAAAATTAGCTTTTAGTGGCATGCAAGTTTAAGTTTAGTCGAATTCTCCATTTATCCAAGTTTCCTCAAGGTATTCCTTATTCTTTCTCCTCTTCTTCAATGTAACAGTTTCCGTTTATTTATCCTCCTCTTAATATTTCATTCGTCAAATTGTTTACTGGCAGTCTTATTCTGTCCTACACATGCACCTCATTTGTTTTACGTTATACACGCATAAGTTTTATTTCCAGGAAATGGAGAAGATACGAGCCGAGAACAACAAGCTGAGAGCAACCATCCTCGAAAACCAGGAGAGCACGTTGAAGAAATCCGGCATGGTAAAAGGCCGAAAGGAACGGGAGAACAAGGAAAACACCTTCGAAGCGACGAGCCCCCTTGTTAAGCACAAAGCCGAACGGCAGTCCAGCCCGGCCAATCCACTAAAACAGAGGAACATCACATAATCGGTACGCCTGAATTTACAAAATTATTATCTCATTCCTTTATTTTAATTCTCTAAACTCTTTTTAGTGATGCAAATCGGAAAGACAGGGGCTAAAGACTGCAACAGTAATAGCAATGTACTGTTTATAGCATACATTAACATTAATGACAATCTTAAATAAAAATTTCACATAAAACAAGTTTATTTTCTTTTTACTTTATATATTTTTTAATATAAAAAAAAGTAATGCATTTACTTACAGGCTTGTTTTATGTTCTGTGATATTTAAGTGTTTATCTTCCAGTAAGCAATTTAGCCAGTCCTGTTTTAAGCAGTCCGAAAGGAAAAAAAATGTGATACTATCCATTTCAAAATTGATAAATTCTTTTTTCTTTATTTATTTTTTATTAATATTTTTTTATATATTTGTTACCAAAGCACCTAGTTATTCAACACAATCCTCATTGAAATATAGATGACCTGTTTGCAAACTAGGAAAAGAAAAGAGTAGTGTTTTTCATCTTTTCTTGATAATACAAATGAGATATATTTTAAAAGAAAAAGGTTTTGTTTTTGTGTAATAAATTGCTTATATATATAATTTGTACAAATAAAGAATATGTGCGCACTTTTCAATTGTTCTAAGACATTTTCTCACCCTAAATCCTAAAGTTTAATTAAACCTGCATACGCTAGCATGTTGCACAGCGGCAAGTTAGTATACTGTATTTTTATTACAAAGGAAACAGCGCTGTCTTTCTTCTTTCTGCTCGTACACTTGGAATTCTCAGCTGGAGTAGGCAGAAGATGAAAAATAAGGTAGAAATTACAACGAAGGCGATTAATAAGGCTGGCTGTTTGCGACTTGGGCATTACGGGCTTAAAAACTGCTTGTATAAATAAAAGGCCTGGGGCAGGGCAATTTGTGAACACATTTATTCTGCCCCTGCTAAGAAGAAATGTTGTATACATTATTGTGATAGTTTTGAGAAATTGAGCTTTGAAGTTTTGCATCGAGGACCACAGCAGCCGAGTGATTAGCGTGATTAATTCTCTTGATGTGGTCGTGTGCTCGGATTCTCACCATCGCCCCTTGTAATTTTTTCATGCATCCCTTCCCCCTAAAAATATATATATATATTTACTAATAATCAAAGTTCATAATGCCATTAAAAAAAGTTTTTCACGCTGAATGGCTGCAATAAGTTGCATTTTTTAGGTTTTGGCCTAGGACTCTCTTTTTTTATAATCCTGAAAGATTTTTTAAAATTATTATTTACGTTATTTATATTGGTTAGGTCTATTATTTTATGTGCACTTTTTATCAAAAAAAGGTTGGTATGTTAAATTTAACAAGCAAATAACTACTTACCAAAAATAACGAATCTGAAAATGAAGTATTTTTGAAAAACAGATGGTTTTTATTATAATTTATTTTACAATACAATAGGAAATGAATCGCATGTTGAAAGTAGTACTGCTGAATTTCCACTTACTTTGTTAAATAAGTAGTATTAAGTATTTCTCCACTAATTGATTTTACGCAGGAAATGAGTTTTTGTGGTGGAAAAAACGTAAATTGTCACATGCATTAATTTTAACTATTAATACGAGCACTTTTTTTTTATTAAGATGTAGTAAAATTTTGGAAATACGGTTTTTTGACTAGTATTTTCTCCATACATTCCACATACAATATGTTATTTTAAATTGATATTTTTAATATTTCCGGACCGATTTATGATGCTTTTATCATGTTTTTCCATAGAAAACGTATCTATGAATGCAATAGTATAAAAAAAATTGAAAAATTTGGATATATGGCATTTTTAAGTCAGGTACAAATGATAAATATATTCTTACACCAAAGTACAAAAAAATATTTATTAATTGAATGTTGGCCAAAGACGCTGAATGATGTGGAAACTGGTGTTGGCGAGTGTCGTTCTTTTTGTAAATAATCTCAACTGCAAGCTGCCTGACTTGTATTGTTTGTTTACGTGTACGTAGGTTTGGAGCGCAACAATAAACGTGTACGAGTATTATCTCTAGTTTTTTGTATTTTTGTTTTTTTGAACCTTATCTTCTGTTATGGACCAAAATTGCTGACAATGACAAAAATAAGCCTGTCGCTCATTGTAGATTGGAGTGGGAATTTTTTTTCCTATTTTAAATAAATAATGTTTAACATAAATCAGGAAATAAATTTAAAAAAAAGGTTGGATGTTAGTTGTTCTATTTGTTAAAAATAAATTGAAAAAAAGTAAAGAGGAAGGAACCAAAGATGGATAATTAAAAATAAAGAAAATAATAAAATTCCCCAGCACAGAAGAAGAGAGGAAAACCAAAACTTAATGATCCCAACTTACCCTGAAGACCACAAGGAGGGTTGGTTTCTGTTAAAAAGTTAATCAAGTAAAAATTTTTGAATTATTTAGCAAAATTAACACCTTTATTTAAATTTAAAAAAATTGAGCAAAATTAGCATGTCTTCTCCACAGCTAAATTTTACATTATGTAAAACTAATGATTGCTGCACTACTTACAAACACAATAAAATTATTTTCTAGTGGCCATTGCTGCCTACTCTTTTTTTTTTTTTTTTTGAGAGAGAGAGAGAGAGACAGGGCCTACTACCTCTTCAGCCAACTTCTTTCTTCCTTATAGCAGGCACAAATCCACTTCCGGAATTTGTCCTGATCAATCAATCAAGAATGGCCTCGGCTGCACACGAGGCCACTTTTCCCAGTCTGTATCCTCGAGCCTGCCAGTCTCAATTTGTCTGTTTATTTATTACAAAAATTAAAAATAAATGCTTAAGTCCCCCCCCCTCCAGCATTGGAAAGTATTGTTCTTGCCCTAAAAATTGGAAAGGAGAGCCGAAGAAGACAGGGCAGCCAATGACATCAGAACCAATTCGGTCATATATAAATGAGGGTTGGTTCTGTAGAAGAAATTGATAGCTTAAAAGGAAAAAGAGAATCAAGGCAAAAACAGCAGAAGTGTTGACCACCGGCAGAGAGGAGGAGCAGACGAGGGGAGCAAAAATAATCCTCTCTGCCGGTGGTCAACACTTCTGCTGTTTTTGCCTTGATTCTCTTTTTCCTTTTAAGCTATCAATTTCTTCTACAGAACCAACCCTCGTTTATATATGACCGAATTGGTTCTGATGACATTGGCTGCCCTGTCTTCTTTGGCTCTCCTTTCCAATTTTTAGGGCAAGAACAATACTTTCCAATGCTGGAGGGGGACTTAAGCATTTATTTTTAATTTTTGTAATAAATAAAAAAGGGTACACTTCCTTGCACATAAAAAGTAATTAAGCGTGTATGGTAGATATCGCTTCAGTTAGCATAGTGTCAGCGCCACTTACAAGTAAAAAATTATTGAAAAACAGGAAAGTAATTTCTGTCAAACAGCAGGGGTTAACGTTGAATTACCTGTTAGGTTTACAATATTTATTTTTCATTTTATTCTCAATTAAGTTGCCATGGTTTATGGAACCCAGAACCACTGGCATGATAAATACGAGACGGAATACCACTCGGCCACCCTTAAAAATAAACCTACTTAAAGAAATGGCTGTAAAACCATTACTGCCACTTTCTATTATAACTTGCTGAGTAAGCTCGAGGCAGCTTTTTGTGACGTATTTGAAGGATTGTTAATGAATATAATGTGCATAATTAATGTTTTTTTGTGTATATAATCCAGTCTCGAGTTGTTCCGATTCTAACCTATAAAAAAAACGCAAATAATATCAGGTCAGGGGGTCCTAACTATTGGTATATTTGCTTACAATACTATCATACGAACAATCACAAACTGCTGCTAATAAACGAGAATAAAACTTAGCTTGTAATTCACTAATTTCGTGGTCCGCTTGGCCAATTAATATATTACAATTAATTTTGGTTTTTAGTTGAGATGAAAAAAAGTTAATGGCATGAGCGGGATTCGAACCCGAATTTGAAAAATGGCTAAAAGGAGGGAAAACTCATTAGGTGGGGTTGAGATAGTTGATGTCCGAGTGGATCGAGGTCATTATAGCTCAAGTGGTAGAGCAGCGGCGTACTTAGCTTGTAACTTATAAAATTTATACATTTCAAACCCAAAGGGCAAACCAGGCAAGACAAATAATGCCGTAATGTATCCTTTTCTTTTTTTCTTCTGAGGTATTTATTTATAAGGTAAAATAATTAAGCAGAACATTTTGTATATATATTATTTCTTGTTTCTTTTGTTCTCTTAATAGCAACAGATATTTTTCATTATTCTTTACTCAAAAACAGGCATATTTTATTGTCGAAGAAATAAGAAAATTGTTATAACTTTTCACATTTTTTCCCTCTGTATTTTCTCATATTTCATTTATTTGGCACAAATGTGCTAGTATAATAAGTTTGTTAAATTATTATTTTATTAATTTTAAATATAATTTTCCAAAATTACAACATATCATAATAATTTCCTATTAACAATAGTATACAACTCCTTGAAAAGAGTCCATTTACATAATTCATGCTCCTTACATTTTATTTTTTATTTTTTAAAGTTAGTTCCTTAACATTTTAATAATAAATTACATCATTTAATATAATATAATTAATTCCTTTATTATAAAAATTATAAACATAATAAAGCTAGCAATAACAAAATCCTTAAAAAGCCATTTTATTATTATTGCTGCATTTGTCAAAAATAAAACAGAAATTCAATTAATAAAAATCAAGTCAGTTAGTAAAAAAAAAAAAAAAAAAAAAAACATACAGAAATGAAATTTATTATAAAATTAAAAAAAAGAAAACTGGTTTCGCCAAGGACCTGGGCGACAACCACATAAAGTTTCACATTTTGGAAAAGTTCATTGGTCCCACTAGGAATAAGATCATTTAAATCAAATCGGAAGACATTTTTTGTATTGCAACTGCAAATAAAGTGGCTTTTAGTTAAATAGCATCGGGTGTACAAATTTAAAAAAAAATTATTGCCTAGTTTTAATATTGATTATTTACAGTGTTACTTATAGAAATGTTGCGAAAGGGCTGTTGGTTGTTTACAAGATCATACTATATAATAAATTTAAAATTATTCAATGTAATATAGCAAGCAAGTGGTTTTGTTTTCTTTTTATTAACACTCAATCAACAGCCTTTCAGTTTTCCACATAGATTTACACCGTTGTTACCCTGAAGAATGGCTGTTTCCGTTTTGGTCTTTAATTGGATTATTTACTCTTGGAAGAGGGTTCATGCAATTTTTTTTAATATGTTATAATTGAGCACTAGATTTACTGTAGTTTCATGCAGAACTCGTCGACTGTTTCGAATCAGATGGTTGTATAAAAATTCAAGAGTGGATAATCAGACTAGACATCGCTGATCCGCTCGTTCTTCTTTTTTCCCCCGGAGCTCTGAAAATCGAACATTCAGTCATAAAAGTTAATTTTTTTTTTAAAATAAAATGTGCAAAATTACCTGCGATGAGAGTGAAGTTTTATCAGGAGAGGCAACCACGTGATTTGGTGACTTCTGCAAAGATATTATTTTTTTAATAAATTCTATAATACAAGAAATTAACACGATTCCTTGTTAGAACTTTCGCTTCCCCAGCTGGTTTTCTCTATTACACCATTA